AACTAATACTTAAAGCTTTAACTTTTTTCTTAGGTAAATAGTATGTAGTGGATGTTGGTTATCCTAATATAAAAAGGTATCAGCACCTTATAAAGGTGAAAGATATCACATTCTTGATTTTAGATGTTGCAGTCAAAAGGTGTAGAAAAAACATTCAACCATGCACATTCTTCGTTAAGAAATGTCATTGAAAAAACAATTGGAGCTTGGAAGAATAGGTGGCATATGCTACATGATATGAAGCCATTTCCATTGATAAAACAGGAAAAGATTATTGTTGCAACAATGGCACTTCATAACTACATTAGACAATGTAGTGTTATAAATGAGGAGTTTGACAAATGATATCATAATCCCAATTATATTCTTGAAAGTCAAGAAGAAAGAAGTAATGATGAAGAAATGGGCTCATATACTTCTAGAAGAGCATTACATGATAGTTACATGGGTAGAATTCACAATCAAATAGCTACTGCATTGATGAAAAATAAAAATCGTTAATTTATGAGTTATTTATGAATTACGTGTTACTTATAAATTATTTGTGAAACTCTTTTTTTATAATTTATTATCAATTATAAACTTTACGTTATATTAAAATACTTTTATATTTTTAAAAATTTATTTTAAATAAATAAAAGACAGTTAATATTTGCTATTTTAAAAAAAATCGTGATTAATAAAAAATTATTTATTAAATATCATTTATGACAATTTTAACTTAAATTAGAGTTTATATAAATTATTTTACCAAACAACTTATCTACAAAAAAGAACTTATAAAAAGTAAATTTACCAAACAGTTTTAATTTAATTTTAAAAGCTATTATTTTTTATAAAAACTTTATAATAACTTTTAAGTTAAAAAAAAAAATCAAACCAAACATGCTCTTAGTAACACATCTAAACCTCATGCTCGAACACACATCAAAGACTTGGATAGAGTAGCATTGCTGGAATTGCGAGATGAGTAACGTTATTTGTTATGTAAGAGCAAGCGCAAGAGGAGCAATATTTGATATTTCAACCTCAAAATTCCCTTAATTTTAAGAAAAGCTAGTTTAAGAGAAAACAAGGAATTAAGCCTCCAGAGAGCCTCCTGGCGAGCACCAGGAATAATATCCTGCATAGGGGCATCCAGAATCATTACTTTTTCTCTGATTAAATTTTGCTAGTGAAGATACATACAAAATCTACCTTATGAGTTGCACTTTGACATTTTATAGGGGAAAAAAAATAAAAAAGAAAGCATTGACTCACACATGTTTAATCCTTGTTTTAAAATTATGGAGCTAACAAATCAACAAGACAAGGTGCATAACATCAAGCTAACACATTAACAAAGATTTAAGTCCACAATAACAAGATGAAACCACTTAAAAACACAACATAAGCAGACCATAAGAAGTATGAACTCTAGCTGTTCTAAATCAACAGCCATCACTCAGGTCCCAGGCAACCATTGATTGAAAACAATGTTCAAATCTTCTTGAACCGCATAACACAATCAACCATATACAATGCATCAACACTTCTGATATTGTTTCTCATTGACATAAGTGCGTATGCCCTCCCCCTTCTTTGAATTCCATATTTAGCGAGCTTCATACTGAACAACTGCAGTTAATAAAAGTTTTAAAATTAATTGTAAGAATTTTGGATGTTGAAAGATTACATAATAGCAAGTGCATTTCCCTTTGAGATGTGGAAGGACTCTAATTAAAAATGTTTCACACACTAAGCAGTTAAGACAGCAAATCTTCATGAACTAAAAAGTGTTGGTCTATTATCAGTGTTCAGCTAGAACATAAATCATAATTTTAAAACATCACGCTCACAAATCTAGAGGCAACACTTAAATCCATAAAATAAAATAAAATAAAAGCTAACAAATATGGTGAACATAAAACATAAATTTAAAACATCACGCTCACAAATCTAGAAGCAACACTTCCATCCATAAAATAAAAAACAAAATAAAAGCTAACAAATATGGTAAGGTTAGGGAATCAAGGGCCTGATGCCAAACATCCAAGGATCACATCTTAAACTTTCACAAGAAAGTTAATGGCATACCCTGAAAACCCTAAACATAAATTTAGCTCAATGTGCATCAAAAGTTGTATTTTTGGTGTAATCAACCCACACTGAGATTAGAAAATTAGTGTTTTGGACAGTTTATGAAGTTTTAATGAATGATTACTGTAAATTGACAAAGGTTGATTTGTGCTAGTTGAAGTGTGATAGTGCCAAAGCATAAAGAACAAAAGGAAAGAATATAAATGATCCAGGTTCATCCTAGATTGTTGAAATATGCTCATTAAGGATTTGGGTTGCTTCATCCAATCTCAAAAGAAAGCATAATTGCCGAAACTGTTCATAAACTTATTTATGAGTCATGACTGTGTATTAAATATAGAAAACTACCAAACTTGAAAATCAAACAACTCTTAAACCAAAAGTAAAAACCTACTAACATTAAAAGATGCAAAACAACGCTCATACACAAAACCTAATAACATTAAAAGAAGCAAAACAACGCTCATACACAACTGATACATCAGACTTGTTAAAATTGGAACTTGACAGACTACCCTGCTACTTATAACTCAATAAACTAAATAAAAGAAAACAAATATAACCTTCATGCATGAAACCATAGAATTAATAATCTTTTTAAGTTCGTAAAGTTACCCAATTCCAATAGTGTTTGACATGCCAGCCTCACTTTTCTCTATTTATTGGTTGTTTGAAACAGTAGATTTACTCCTTCAAGACAAAGTAATATGAGGACATATTTACACACACATAATTGTTTATTTTCAGGAAAGGTGATATTTCATTAAACTTCATATAAGAGTTGCAAAATCCTTTTTTTTTTAACTTTTAATATGATTGTTACAGATCCTCAAATTTTGCAGTTTTCATCCCTTGCTATTCTAACTACCTTCTTTAGTTGTCTACCCTGTCAAAGTTAACATGTGTCCTACAAACAATATACCAAATGATTTGAGCAACCTCAAGTTCTGCATTGGTGTTCAAACTTGTAGCAAATTTTCTTTTCTTTATTTCTTTCTAGAAAGATGAAAATTATTAACTAAGAAAGGAAGAAAAAATGGCTTAAAATTGCAAATGCCTAACTCCTTTGTCTAGTGGCACCAATCCTAGAGAAAATAAACCCTAAACACAAATAAATGTAATTCCAACTTCCTAAGCACTGCATCAAAGCAAACAAAAAATTTTTGAATCTTGGGACCTTCCTCTGCAAACCAAACTACCATCAAATTCCCTTTAAAAAAGAAATTAAATCAGCCAACAAAGAAATAGCATAATCTACCAAAGAACACACCCACTCCTCAGACAGACAATGAGCACAAAAGATAAAACAACCCAAGGCCCAAAGCCAAAACCCTCGAAACTTACCAAACAGTAAATATGAAGTTTCACACAGTCAGCATTTTATCAAACAAATCATCGGAAAGCCAATTTAAATAGTGCAACAACTGATATTCAAACCAAGATTAGGTAACTGAACTGAGTTGATTTTCAGGTTTCTCTTCTAGAATCTTGTTTATTCTGACAAATAAGCAAGTTGCATTGAAGATTTCAACTCTGTCAAATATCAAAATCATAATCTCATCTCACATTCACTTCTATTATTGTCCCTAAGTTAAATTAGGTATCATCTTGAGTTCCCTGCTATTATTACTCTCTTTTGCTGAAAAGATGGCTTCTTTCTATATCTCAACATGCCTTAAGCACATTCTTCTTCACGTCACAAATAAACACATGAAATACAAGAAATTACTATGCATAAAAAAAGCCTAAAGAAGTAAGTAAAATTAAGGAAAGAGAAGTGAGAAAGCAACTTTACTTCTTCGGGTTCGCTTCTTGTAAAGAATGCGGTAACCACACTCACGGCATTGTATCACATCTCCATGCTTCAATGTGTTCTCTTGTCCACAGTCTTTATAAAGATTCACTACCCCCCCCCCCCCAAAAAAAAAAAAAAACAGAGTCAAAATCAAAGTCATGGCAAAAATTAGGGTTTAGTGATGAAAAGGTTATACCTCCACAGATATAGGTAACAGGTTCTGGCTGCGGATCCATCGATACTCACCCAAACAAGCTCTTCAGACCAACCTCCTCAAAGTTGAACAGAGTTTTGCATAAGCAAATTAACTGAAGGATAACCAAATTGCGTAAAGAATAAACCAAAACTGAATTAGCCCAAAAAGATTTACAGAAAACAGAGTTAATTTCAGTATTGTTATTCACTATCAAGGAAGGGTATAAAGAGGAAGAGTAGGAGAAACGAAGGGGAGAAGCGCAAGGCTGACCCGAGCGTGGCGAACACTAGGTTTGGAAGAGAAAGGGAGCCCTTCTCTTCCTCTTCAGTTTCTGGGTTTTAGGCTTTGAATATTTAGTTTAGGTTTCGATTGACCTTTATATTATCTAATTTCTATCTTTAATTAAATAAAAGGAAACTTCAGTGGAAGAAGCTATGGAAGGGCTGGGCTTTGGGGACGTGGATTAAAGCTTTTTGAGTTTGTGTTTTTCAAATAAGGTAATATTTGATTTAAAATAAATAAAATAATTATTTTAAAATAAAATAATTATTATATAATTTAATATCATGAAAAAATAGGATTAGAATTGCTATTATAATTTATTACAGCTTTTGATTGATAAAAATAATATTGAAATAAGAAAGTAATAGCTAATAAATGATAAAAAATAAAAATATCTTTTATTATGTTAACATTTATTTTCATCAAAATAACAAATTGTATTATTTTCATCAAAATAATATATTGCATTACTTTTATAAAAAAAATACATTGGTATATATTATTTTGATGCAAAGTTCGATCTTGTTACAGTAAAAGAAAAATTCTTAAGGTTTCTAAAAACTTATCTAGATAATATTTTCTGCTAAATAATATTTTTGACATGTAATTTTTTATTTAAAAAACTCACCAAGGAAGAAGTTTTTACCCATTATGCACTTTTTAATAATTTTTGTCAGTTCAATAAAAAGAGTTGTAAGCCCATGACATTAAACAAAAAACAAAAAAATAGGACAACAGCAAACTAAGTCCAAAACATCATATAATGAGCAAAAAAAACAAGCACTTGAGCATATTCAGTTCAACTCATTTTTCTTTACATAAAACAAGTACCTGCTCGTAAGCGGAGTTGGAAAAGTTAACCCTTAGTGGCTAACTCATTTTCTTTCCCAAAATTTCTTCACTCCAGTCGCTTCTCTTCTCTTTGCCATGAGTTGTCCTTGTCACTTCTCTTCTCTTTACCATTAGTCGTTTGCCTGCTCTATTACTGTAAGCGGTGAACTTTTTTACCTTTTTGTCCCTTTTTTTTTCTTTATGATGCGCTTAAAGTATTAATGGTAGTTTCTGTGACTTTTTGTTAATTAGGTTATTTAGTATTAGATTTGGGCATCTAGAGTGCAATTTCTTTACTTAAATTTCAGTTTTCATGGTCTTATTTTTTTTGTCATTCAATGCTACTATTGATTTGTGAAGAAAAACGTTCTCATTTATATGTTCTAGTTAGCGACGAATCAGGGTTTTGCATGAGGAGTGGTTAATAAAATACTCATTAATTTTGAGCTAACCGAACTCCAACCCTATTAATAAATAAGATATCCAAACCCTACAACTACCCGAATACTTTTATACTTTATTATTTGAACTTGAACTTTATTATTATCCTCACTACCTGGTAATTATTCAAACTTATTAAAAAATCTAATTTTATAAAAAATTTATTAAACTTTAATAAGTACCTAATTATCTGAACTTGTACCTATACACAATAATAAATTATATTTCACATCCATTCAATCACTAATAATTAAATTTCTAAAGCAAACAAATAATAAAATTTAAATTTAAATAATTAAAAACTAATATCTCAAATAACAACTCGAATAATAAAAAATAAATATCTCAAACAACTTATAAGTTATAGTTATTATCTCTATTATGTTTTTATTTGTACATATAAATGAAAGGTTGTTAATAGTTATTATCACTTAATATCAATACTTTAATATATTCTATTGATGTAAGCATAAATGCAACTTTAATAATTTTATAAGTTATAATTTTTGTAAATTACAAGTTGCGTTTATATAATAGTGATAACTAACAAATTATTTTATCATTATAAGCATATAGTAATGTTCATATATAAATTAAATATATTAATATTATAGCTTATTCACATAATGTATTAATACGTAAGATATAGGCATGATAAATATTATTAAATATAACCTATTTAATATGTTAATAAGTATATAGTAAATAGTAATGTTTGCATATAAATTAAATATATTAATACTTATAACCTATTTATATGTAGGATATAGGTTTATGTAGGTAAAACAATACTATATACTATGGGGTAAGATATTCATTAATCATATATTAATATTAAAATGTAACTTATATCAATTTAAACAAAAATACATATAACTTATATCATTTAAAATATAGAACCTATAATTACATATTCCATGACTTTAACACATAATCATATTATGTATGTTTTAAACTTGAAAATGTAAATACCTATTATACTTAATATAAGTATAATTGATTGTTATAGTTAATCATAACATTTTGCAATATATATATATATTACTAATTATATTCCTTGTAATATGATATTATTTAAACATAACTAATAATTTAATAGCTTTGTTATTTAAATATATTAATGACATATCATTAATAATTTGACTAACAATAACATATTATTAAAGAAAGGTTGGTAAAGTTGGAAAGGTTTAAAATATTTCTTATTCAACTTCAATTCCTAACATCAACAAAATTTTACATATTTAATTATCTATTATATACTATATAATACATAATTGGGTTTAGGTATCAAGTATCCAAGAGGTGGTACCCGAGCTCAATACGAGTAGTAAAATTACTATCTGAACTCGTCCCAAACCTTAAAATAAAGTATCCTAACTCTATATAATCTGGTCAAGTACCCTCATGTATCTTGTTAAAGTGTATCTACTGTCATTTTTAGTGTCTAAAAGGTAACCAAACAAGGTCATAGATAGGGTCAATGATTTTATTCAAAGCAAAAAATTAATCACTTTTGAATTAAAATTAAATTATAACATAAAATTTCATTAACAATTTTAATATAAATTTTTAAGACAAATAAAAATAGACATAAAATATAAAAAAAAATTAACATTAGATTTTTACATTAGACATCATAAGATATACTCGATGAACTTTCATGCTATTTAATACATAATCAGGTTTAGGTATCAAGTACCCAGTGAGTGGTATCCGAACTCAATACGAGAAATAAACTTAGACCTAAACCCGTCAAAGACTTGAATATAGGGTACCTTAACCCTATATAATCGAGTTAAGTTCCTATAGGTACCTCGTTAAAGTATACCCATTGCCATTCCTAGTGGCTAAAGGATAATTATACAAGATCATGAATCGGGTTAATGATTTGATTTGAAGCAAAAAATTAATTACTTTTGAAATAAAATAAAATTAAAATATAACATTTCACTAACAATTTAAATATAAATTTTTAAATTCACAAATAGATATAGACATGAAGCAGAAAAATTAATATTAGATTTTCACGCTAAGTTTCGTAAAATGTGCTTAAGTTGCTTTCATGGTTTTAAATTTATTGATAACTAAATTTGTGTCAATGGTCCTGATAATCTTTTTCTCAATGTAAAAGATAAGTGTACTAGTAAGAAAATCATCTTCCAATTTATTATGCAACCTTGTTTTTACTATTTTCATAATTGAAAATATATACTTTGTAGTTGTAGTAGAAACTGAAAGAGTTAAGATACGTCAAACCAAACGAATTCAAATCATGTGCAAAGGAAAAATAAAATAATAAAAAAATAGTTGAAGGGTTTATATGCAGTACATAGGAAAAAATGGAAAAAAGATATAGGAAAAAACAAAGAAAAAGGGAAAAACAAGGAAAAGATTTTTTTTTTTTGAAATTTGGGCATAAGAGGGTTTGAACCCGGGCTTTTAATCAAAATGTTATATAACTTCCCATTATTTCCAAAATAATGTATTTAAATTGATTAAGGGTGGCAAAATTATATATTTTCAATTTTCTGTATAAGAGTGAACCCAAGCTTAAATCAAAATGCTAGATGACTTACCACACCTCATTCCGTTGGTGGTTCTAGTATTGCTATGGACTAGAATAGACAAAAAGAGAAAGATGTTAAGAATAACAATTTGAATTATTAAATTAGTTTTCTTTACGTCAAAATAATCATTTCACCTTAAATTTATGCTCGCAACATTGTGTTTCTAGAAAAATGCACGATTGATTGAGAAGTTTTTAAAATAAAAAGAAAGGGTAAAAATACATGAATTAGGTATTTTAATGGGGTTGGGTACATAACGAGTAGTGTGAAGGTATTAGGGTTTGAGTTTAGATAAGAAATTCAAATATCAGTAAGGTAGTTATCTGGTTTGCGTATTATATTTATTAATAGGGTTCGAAGTAAAATATCTTAAAATTAACAAGTACTCTAGTTGTTGACAATTTTAACGAAACTCGACACCTAGCATTAGTTTTTTTCTTTTTACTGAAGGGAGGGCAAAAACGGTTAAAGAAAAGAAAAATAGCTTTTCCACCATCAATCTTTTTTATCTTTTCTCTATGTAGCAGCATAAAGATCTCTTTTTCCATTTTTCTTTTCTCCATCTCATTTTCCAACTACTTTTTTGGATTCTTTTTTTTTTTTGGTTTCTATGGACTTAGTTTCTTATGGGTCATGTTTTGATAAAACCCTAATGAAACCATAAAAAAGGCACACAAATTACTTTTATTGAGTGTTTTTTTTTTAATTTTTACTTTATTCAGTATTATATACATCTTTTATTGTGTGAATTTTTTTGTTATGAAATTTTGCATTTTGAGCATGAGAATAACAAAATATAGTGAAACATATATAATATGTTAAGGATTTATATTTAATGCATTTATAGTGTATAATTTCCTTGAACTATTAGTTCACTAGATTACACCCCATCTTTAATAAACAAAGATAAAATTTTTACAATGATTTAAAAATTAATATTAAAAAATTTTAATAATTAATCACATGGAAAAATAATTTTGTTAGAATTTTTCTTCCATGCTTCTCTCTCTTTCTTGTTCTTCATCTACAAGGGATCCAAATCAAAATCTTCTTTTACACAGATTAATTCTTTCACCATTAACAAGAAATTAATAATTTCTTCATGGGAAGATTATTCAAATTGCAATTTGAAATGTTGATTCAAGATACAATTAATTCTTCCACCATAAACTAGCAAAATGAGATTTTTTTTTCTGGAAGTTGTTTAAAAATATTTTATTCTTTTATTTGATTTTTTTTATAAGCATGCTCCGA